GTGCGTGGACGGCCTTCGCCACTGACCTCTATGTTCGTTGATAATTACCTGTTCAAGATGCCATCCCTTTCTTACCATGGCTGAGGCTACCTCTTGTTGAGAAGCTTTTACTGGGTGGTCCTGATATCCCGAGTTGATCAACATTCCTTTGTTTCCCAATGTCATTAAATACAAGGGATATCCCCATCTTGTAAATTCTAAATCCCCAATCTGAACACATCTTTAAGATATGAGTGTATGAATATTTTAGGTTGGAAAGGACTGTACATGCCCTTCCCAAAATCGATCAATTTTCGGTGCCATCAAAATATCTACCAATTGCCAAACAGTTTATAAATGTAGTTCTGATTCCGTTCCATCGTGACTTTATATCTTTGTGGTTTGTTTTCACTTGCATATTCAAAGTCGTTTTAATATAACTTAGCTAACCCTATAAAAATATGAGTTAATAGTTAAATTTCAGGGGCTTGTTATAAACAAGATCGTAGAAAGAGAGACTAAACGTGTAATTATTTTGAAATACATTTTCTAGTTTAATTTCTGGAGTTGTTTGTTTTCTGTTTAAGCGCAAAATTACACAATGGGTTATCTGCCCTTTGCAAACCACGGGTATATAAACCCGATTTTTTAGCATTTAAGCCATTGAGATTACCGCTGAGTCACTGAGTGACTTAATTTCGGGAAAAAGTGTACTTCATTGACAGAGGCGTCACTAGGCACTGGCACACAGGGCCCATGCCCCAATTCTATTTGACAGTGCCCTGAATCCCCAGTTGGTTTCTTGAAAAATCAGAATAGAAAACCATAATCGATGTCATACTGATAAGGGCCCAAGCCCCAGATCTTTTAAGCACATAGCGACGTCTCTCTTCAGTGAGTTGTTTAATATGATGGTCACTAGCCTGAAAGATTGAAACGATTTGAAAAGAAGGCCAACAAGTCAAGGAAAAATGATGAAAATTAAATCCTTCCAGAACCTGCCCCCCCCCACCCCCCTAGAGATTTGAGGCTTGGGCCCCAAGAAGCGGCTACTACTCAAAATAATTAAAACATAATTCTAATATAATATATATTAGTTTAAGTAAGGTCTCAAAACAGATTCTTTGCATTCTGAAAGCACGGGTCCTGTGAACCGTTGGCCAGCAGAGCCCCTGCACACGCCTCTTTACATCCTAGACTTCATGCTAAGGTATGTCAGCTGTTGGTATATTTTAACATAATCTTGATTAGTCGCTCTATGCTATTTTATTTGGTAATAATTAACTAATTTTTTTATATTCTAGGCGTGCCAGAAGATTGGAGATCAGTCAATAACACATCGATATAAACAGTGTTCAAGAAATTATTAACTACTTTAACTTTTAAGCTTTCCTTCAGTGATTACGAAGTCTATAATTAAAGAATTCCCATAAGAATGTCTATACGAGTTTCTTATCACAGAATCGGCATAGATTTAGAAAGGGAAAGTCTTGCGAATTTACTAAATTTCTTTGAAAAAAAGTTTACTTCTAACCGGGCATGGGTATCCAATTGAGGTGGTGTACTTTAATTTTTATAAAGCTTTTGATGAGATATCATATACGGAGATTTCTCAGGTATGTCAGTGAGAGAGATAACTAGTTCAATGGTTTAAAAGTTGATTGGATAGAGAAGGTTGTTATAAATGGGGTTAAATTAATGAATTAACTAAGAGAGACCTGCTAAACATTTGCGGTCATATTAGTATCTCCATTGGTGAAGTGCTTCTATAAATACAGAATTTCTAGAATAATACAAAATAATTTTAATAGCAGACACTGAAATCTACAAGTCTTAGAGCATTAATTAAGGCCTATAACAGTACAAGTATAATTCGAAAGAGATAAATTAACACTGTAAGTAACTTGTGTACGTTTTTGCTTTAGTTTATTTAATACTATTGTTACGTCTCTGTTCGTTTGTTAATTTCCCCTAGAAATTCTTCCCGAGAAACTTCAGCGATACAAGTCATTTCTAATTAAACAAAACTAGTTTATTCTTTCTCAATACAACTTTGCAATACACTTAATTTCCACACTTAAACACACGCTATAATTCTCAGGAACGACTCACACACTTTACTTCCAACCGTGCTTGACTCAATTGTCCGTCTATATCTTCAATCTCTCTGTCTGCTATTCAATTCGATTCATTGACTGGCGCACTCATATACAAGAATACCGCACATCCTTCAGTCACTTTGACTTCAGCTTGATGACACCTGGTTAGCTCAACCTCTCTTTTAACAGTTACCGGAACTTGGCCTTTGTTGTTCCCAAACGTCATTTTATCAAAATTAATTACAAACTTTCTCGGTAGTAAGTAGTCCAACCCTCATATGCATGGGTCTTCAATATCGGCCAAGTATACTTTGTGTCTGTTCTTCATGCCCATGAGCTCAATAGTTACCCACACTGGTCCCCACAACCTTGCAAAATGTCCTGTCACACCACAGAGCTTCTA